GAAGAGCAGGTGAGTGGAGACGGGAGAAGCAGGGAGGAGGGGGTTTGTGGCCCTGGGGTGGGCCTCACCTGGTCATCCGAAGAGCTGAGGAGGTAGTCACCCGTGGCGTGGAGGCTCAGCCCCGTCACAGAGCCCTCGTGGGCACGGACAACCTGGACGCACGAGGAATTGGGCACGGACCAGATGCGGATAGAGAAAAGCCGAAAACACCAAATCCTAGAGAGGGATGAGGCAGGGAAGTAAACGTGGAAAAGATGTTCCCCTCTCCATCCGAGAGAGCTCTCTACAGGCCAAAACCGGCCCGTCGCCCGCTGGCACGGAGCGGAGACCCCACCGTCACCCGCTGCCACGGAGCGGAGACCCCACCGGAACAGAGCACCAGGAGTGAGCCCCGAAAACCCAATCCAGGGCAGCCTGGATGAGGAAAGAGGCCGAACGTGGGCCTGAGCACACCTGGGAGGGGTGGAAGACGACGCTGGTAACCTTCTTGGAGTGCCCCTTGAGCGTGGCCAGGATCTGCTCCGAGCTCTTGTCAAAGACGATGACGTTCTTATCAGCCCCGCCTGGAAAACAAAGCGGGGAGCGGTCCGACGGGAGCAGGGCCAACCGAGTCCAATTCCACCCACTTTTCCCGGGAAGCACTGCCCCCGAGAAGCTTTGCTGGGAGGCAAGAGGATCCCTCGTGCCCCTTTTCCCACCTCTATCCCCGGAAAGCGCAGCGAAAGGGACCTGCTCCCAAGCACTTAGGTGACACCGGAGCGTCCCCAGCAAGCGGAAGCGGCTCCCTTACCAGTGAGGATCTTGTTGGTGTCGGAAGGACAGAGATCCAAGGCAAGGATTCCCGGGATGCTGGCGCTGTGCAGCCCCTGCGCGAGGTAGGAGGTCGCCAGGTTAATGCCAGAAACAAGGAAACGCTCCCCAAAACGAACCGAGAGGCCCCGGAGTCACGACCTTCCCCGCGCTCTGCCCAGCGGCACGTCTGTCGCGCAGGGATGCCGCGAAGCGGGAGCCCAGCTCCGGGGGCGGAAGTTTCCGGGCTCCCGCCCGCCATCGCGGCACTCACCACGTGCGAAGCGACCTGCCGGTACTTGCTGAGCTCCTCCGGCTTCACCAGCTCCTCGGGAACCGTCTTGCCTCTCTGCGAAAGGAGAAACGGGGCCGAGGTAAGCCTCGAAAAAAAAGGGCACGGCCCGTCCCGAGGAGCTGGGGCGTCTTCCGAGCGAAACGGGGCCGCTTGCCTTCTTCCGCTCCGTGGTCAGCACCGTCGCCTTGTCTTGAAGCTGGAAAACAACAGGAAGCGGTCACAGACCGAGCGAGGGTCCCACAGGGGGAGGGTGGGGGGAGAACATCCACCGCCGAAGGCTGCGGCGGGAAAAGTGGAGCAGCCCTTACCTTCTGGATGATCTCGGGGGTCATGCCCGCAAGCTCTCCCAGATCCATGGGCTCCCCGGCTCCCTGCGCGGGACAGAGAAGGAGGTTGGTTGGAAATCAGGGAAAACAAGCGGAGAAAACGGCGCCACGTTTGGCTGGGAGGACGGCACGGCCTGGGGCACGATGAGACCAGCCTGCGGCTTCAGGGTCGCCAGAGCTGCGGAGGCAGAGCACGGCTGTGAGCGTCACGGGAGCTCGGAGGGGCGAGGAGG